CCCCGCCTCGCCGAGGACACGTCTCTCCCCCCACTCCTGCGCAGACCCGCTCCCGAGCCGGACCAGCCATGGTGACCCTGGGCCTGTCGCGGGTGGACGACGCCGTGGCCGCCAAGCACCCGGTGAGAAGGCCGGCCTGGGACGCGGTCCCCAGACCTCGGAAGCTGACCTGAGCGGGGGCTGGGTAGGGGTACCTTCGTCAGGGAAGAGGGGCGGAGGGGAGGGGACCCTCTTGCTATGGGAATCAGGGAATCCTGGCCGGGCATAGGGGGAGGTGGGATGTGTCCACGCCCCCGGAGTCTCACTCCGCCACGGCCAGGGTGTGCGCGGGGGAGGGGCAGGAGGAGCGGCGAAAGGAAGAGGGAGGGGGAACTGAGCCTTCAACCTTCTCCCCAGGGACTCAGGGAGTATGCCGCGTGCCAGTCGAACGCCTTCATGAAGGGCGTTTTCACCTTTGTCACAGGTAGGCCAGGTGCCCTGGGCGTGAAGAGAACTCGCCCTCCTGTCTCACCCCGACTCCCCAGCAGGTGGCGCCGCAGATGCTGGGGGCCTGGCGGTGCCACGAGCATGCAGGCCGCTCCCGGGTGGTCCCCTGGCCAGTACGGCGCACAGGCCGACTGATCGGGACCTCGGCTCTTGGCAGGCACCGGTGCGACCTTCGGTCTGCAGATGTTCATTCAGAGGAAGTTTCGATACCCTTTGCAGTGGAGCCTGCTGGTAGCGGTGGGTGGGTACTCCAGTGTCTGTACCTGGGCCCCTGAAATGCACCCAAATTGCCAGAGATGACTCTGGCTCCTCAGCGGGGTTTCCAATAGGGAGGTGGGGGCTGTGGTTTTAGCATCGCTGCTTCTGGAATGGAGCACCAGTTCTCAGTGGGAGCCCTGCCCAAGCTCACCCACGACATCTGCCAGGAAGGAGCCTGTGCCCAGGTTCCCTTTCCCTGAGAAGTGCAGAAGCTGCGGCCCCCAGCCCACTGCCTTCCTGCTCCTCAGTCGTAGGCTCCGTGGCAAGCTACGGAGTGACAAGAGTGGAGTCGCAGAAATGCAGCAACCTCTGGCTCTTCCTGGAGACGGGACGGCTCCCCAAAGACACAGGCACAGGTGAGAGGGCCCTGGGACAGCGAGGATTGGAAGCCACGGCTCCAGTGCCCAGAGTTTTTAGGCAGGCAAGCCCGGAGGCCCCAAGTGATAGGCTAGACAGGGTCTCCTCCTCTGGTCCCTGCTTCTTCAGCATGTGAGTCCTGGAGGGGCTGGGGCTGGGAGTGGATGCAGCAGACAGACCTCAGAGAGCTTCATGCACAGGAGGAAGACCCAGGAGGGGTTGGAGTGCCCCTGAGACAGCAGGGAAGAGTGCAGAGTGAGGAAAGTGGGCAGGGCCCTTGCAGCCGCATGGGCATCCCCAGAAGGTGGCCGGATTGAGAGACCCTGCATCCGACACCAAGATCATTGATCCTCCCTGGCCTCCACTGCCTGTGGTCCTTGTTATGGGACTCAGTGTTTACTACAATAAAATGGGTGCAGGGACCCTGAGCAATGACGGATGTGGTTCTAGGTGCTTCCTTTTGCCTCATGCAGATCCACACAGCTAGGAGAGCTCCACTGAGATGCAGAGGACCTGGGGCATGGGAGTCCTGGAACACAGCCTGCAGTGCCCCCAACCCTAGGCTGGCCCTCCCTACCACACACAGTACCTCCCCGCACCCTAGGGTGCCCCAACCCTGTCCCCTGCACGCATCCATGGCCAGGCCCGACAAACCTGTGCAGACTGCTGCTGCCCAAACCTGGGACCTACCTGGGACCTGCTTGGCAGGTCAGATCAGAAAGGGCTCTCCCTGGGGTGGTGGCTCTCCCCCGGGCAGCAAGAAACATGGTCGGCACTGTGAACCAGAGAGGGATGTGTCCCGTTGCACACACATGTTCTGGGGCCAGCTTGGTGGGTGGTGGAAGGGATTTGTGCATTCTTTCTGGTCCTCTGGTGTCCCTTTCTGGCCCCTCCCTCTCCACAAGAAGTCCAAGGTGATGGCTGGTACTGGGGGTGTGGGGCTAATAAACAGCTCATCCTCTTACCCACCTGAGTTCTAAGGGAATTGGGAAGCAAGTCAAAGGGATAAGACGAGAGATCAAATGCCACTTTTATGCCCGTACACCTGATATTGGGGGATGTATAAGGGTAGTTCCTAACGCTGAACCCCAGAACTAGACATCCCCGCTGGCCCTGTAGGCCATGTTAGATTTCCAAGGCCTCTCATATGAGGGTTTGCATCTGTACAACGCAGCATGGAGGGGCCCAGCAAAAGGTGCACGGGTGGTTAGAGCTGGCTCCCGCAGACACGGGAGAGGCGCGTGGGCCACACGCACCTGCCTATCATTCCAAAGCCACCAATCAGATGGAGTCACTCCTGGGACGTGTGAGCTGGCAGAGCTAGCCCGCTGGAGCTCTGTCCACGTGGAAGGAAAGCTCCCGAGTGGGCAAGAGTGCCCACATCACCCAGCCCCAACCAGAGGAAGAGGCGGAGACTGTACAAAACCATGGCAGGGCCGGCCCGGTGGCGCACTGCTACAGTGCGCCGCTTGGGAAGCGC